AAAATTACTTCACAGATTTTAGTGGGTATGCCTGTGGGAAGATTAATATTGCCATGATCTAAAGAGGAATGACTTTTGTGCTCTCCTAAATGCAATGGCTTCACAAAACACAGTGGAGGGGAAATCACTTCAATTTTTGTATCAAACAGAAAGATTCTTATCCAATGTAAAATGCCTTCCCTGACCGGGAATTGAACCCGGGTCGCGGGGGTAAAAGCGCCGAATCCTAGCCACTAGACCACCAGGGACCTAGATGACTACTTTTGGCCATTGGTGGAGGTCTGCGTGGTGTTATGATGCGATGCGTTGCGCCCAATTCCGGAAAGCCAGAATGGCTCTTCCTGGACGCCACTCTAGCTTCCAGTGATCCCCTCAGTGAATATCCCCGAAAGCCTTTTCCAAACCGAAAACTAGCCCACTGAAGGTGCCCGCGGAGCGCACGGTCTGGGAGCGAGTTGTTCCCGGCCGCACCTCACGCTCACCCGGAGATGCGCCTTAGTGCCGCTGCAGAGCGCGCACAGCTGGGGGCGGGGCCAGGGCCCGGGGCGGCTTTCAGGGAGGAGCCCAGAGGCGTGAGAAAGGGGTAACAAGAATCTCAGAGATCTCCAACACCAAAGAGGGCTCAAGAGGATGCAGAAATGAGAGACCGTCTGAAAGAAAACTTTCAAACCCGGTTCTGGGACCCCAAATCGAGTCGGAATCTTTCCGCTAGAACTCCCAGCACCTGTAGTTTTACATGTTATTTGGTGGCACACACACCTTTGTCCCTTTCCAAATGATCAGGAAAAGGACTTAGAGTTAGTTCTCTTTCTTCTCCATCTGAGTAGTTAGGACTGCACGTCTTCCTGTCCAGCAAATCCAAACACTGGTCGTAACTGCCCTTCCCTTTCCGGAGCGCTCTGTTTAGATCAACGACTCAGGAGAAAGGTGAGCGATGAGTTCAAGGCAGACCTTCTTGGATCGCTCAGACCCTGGACCTCGAAACCCCTCGTTTCAGTGTGCTGGGCTTTAGGTTGCCTTTGCCCCTTTCCTTTGGCTCTGTCCCACAAATCCAACCTCAAAACCCTTGTTTCCAGCCTCACTTAAATAATGGGAGCCTTGCCTGACATTGATTTCTGGGTCCTTAACGCCCCTCTCTCCGGGATGCCTCTGCAGAGAAGCTTCAAGAGACCCTTAAATTCTCGTTTTTCCAATCCGACCAGGAGAAGAAGTGCTAAAAGGGAAAAGGGGCACACGCCATGAGTACGTGATGTCTCAGAAGCTACGTGTGTCTCCCAGCCTCTCTCTGTCTCTGTAGTTTCAGGAAAGACAATCAGAGAAACATAGCATGTGGGTTGGCAGCGCCTGTCTCCATGCACTACCACAGTCAGAGCTCCATACACTGTCCTTAGGTGGCTAGATTTATTTCTGATGTCTTAGTACTATTCCATTGCTCTGTGTATCTGCATACACACTAGCAAGCTGTTGGGTGAGCGTGCCTGTGTTGTTGGTTTATGCCTTCGAGTTGACTACACTTAGAGTGACTCTATGAACAATAACTCTGAACCCTGTTCTATCCTGAGCCAGTCTGTCTCCAACACACCTACGCCATTACGAGTTAATCCATCTCATCCGGGATCTTCCTTTCCTATGCTGTCCCTCCACGGTTCCAAGCATGATGTCCTTCTCCAATGATTGGTCCCTCCTGGCAACATGTCCACTGTATGTGAGATGGAGCTTCAAAATCCTTGCCTCCAAGAAGAAGCCTGGTTTCACCCTCTGTAGGACAGTCTTGTTTTCCTGGCAGCCCATGGTATGTTCAATACTTTTCTCCAGCACAGCTCAAAGGCATAGACTCTCCTGTCATGCTTAGTCATTGTCCAGCTCTCAGATGCATAGCACGTAATTGTGAAGACCATGGCCAGTGTAGCAGATTGAAATTCCTTTTTGCTTAGTCGTTTGGGATTGTTTAGGGTTTTGTTTGTTTGTTTTACTAACAGCCCCCTCAATTTTCCTGCTTAGCAAGTTGTGAAGTGCACAGTTTAATTTAGATGATTCACGGGGTGCTTCAGTCAATATTTTGCTGAAAGTATGATTTCTCTCCTTTAGAAGTAAAAGCTGTACAACAAGTTTTTAGGACAAATACACCATTCTCTTCAGATTCAAATACACCATTCTCAGCAGATGGTATTGGTGCAGTGCTTGTTGTCACCTTCATATCTGCAGTTCAAGGGCTCTGCCCACCCTCTGGGGAGGGGAAAAACCAGGACTTAAAGTCTGACTGAGAGCAGAGAGGTGTGCACACAGAACTACATGAAACTCACCAGCCACCTAGGACCTCGGTCCAGACAAGGCTGACTTCATGATGGTTTTGTATCAAGAAATCTTGTAAAATTGTTTTTCGCTTTAGTCCCTCCCACCCACTCAGAGGAAAGGATTCATTGGCATTATGTCACTACAGGATCTTTGGGGGTCTCTCATGAATAGGAGAGATCAGACCATGAGCTCTTGAAAAGATGATCTTTTCAGTCACTTGCTATACATCTGAGAGTTGGACAGGGAATAAGGATGGCAGAAGAATTGATACCTTTTGAGTTGCGGTGGTAAAGAAGAGTACTGAATATCCCATGGCCTAAAAGGTCCAAATTCACTATAAAGTCAAGAAGCAACACCAGCTGAGTATATAGCAAATACGCTTTATTTAAAATGCGCACTTTACTGAAAATGGACTGAGGCTCACTTAGGTCAGCCCTGAACAAAGATATTTATCCATTCTATGTTGGCTGATTGGGGTAGTCACAGCCATTTCAAGGACCTGGGCCATATCCCATTCTTTTTTTAAATTTTTTT